AGGGTGGCTAGGCTCTGGAATCAACTTCCAAGCAAAGTGATGCTGGCTCCTACCCTGGGGGTCTTTAAGAGGAGGCTAGACACCCTACCCTGGGGGTCTTTAAGAGGAGGCTAAACACCTTGCTGAGGTTGTTTGATCCCAGTACTTTTTCCTGCCATGGCAGGGGGTCAGATTTGATGATCTGCTCTGGTCCCTTCCGACCCTACCAACTATGAAACTATGCATACTAATGTAAAGTAGAAACTGAGTGGCAACACAATAGCAATACAAAAAGGGACAAAGAAAACAAAAGCAGAAAAAAACCTGTATTACCATAGGAACTACTATCCCCAACTTTGAATGACCCTGTTCAAAAATCAGGATTGGGCTTGTTGTAGAAAAGTAAAAGGTGAAGTAGAATACAGGGAAAATAAAAAAAATGCTAAAAACTTGATAAGCTGGTATTGTAAGCTTACTCAGTTAGGAACATCAGTCTTAAAAAGCAGAATTCAGTTGGCTTTTAGATATTTCTGTTATTTCAGATATTCAGGTTCTTTCAACTGAGTACTTTTGCAGTTTATGATTTAATATTTCTGAATGTGGTTGATCATAAAATATTTACTTACTTCATCCTTGTAGCATGTAAAGAAAAATTATTCACTTAGAAAACAGAAATAACTTAATATAGAGAGATACAATTAGTTGAAGCCCAACATCCCACACACAAAAAGCAACTGTAGTTCAAGACTTCGCACTGACAAAAATAGTGCGTCATTGAGCTTATATTTGAGCTTTTCCAGCCCTGAAAAACTCAATTAAAAATGCCGCTAAAAATGTGTTTAAGCAACATATTTCAAATTTTCCCTTAACGATAAATGACATTTCCATTCCAGAGGCAGGAATTCTTGCGGCAGCCATCTTCTGTTACACTACGTGCATACCTAGGATGGACACAGACAAGCTTTCAGGTATCATGATACCCTTCCTCAGGACTCCTCAAGTGAAACCTGAGGAAGGGTACTGTGATGATAAAAGCTGGTCTGTGCCCATCCCTGGCATGAAGTTGATCTAATAAAAAATATCACCCACAAAAACTCTTGCCTCTTGCATATTTCCTGAACAATCATGGCAACAACATCACTTGAGTAGTACTATTTCCATTCCACCAATTTGGTGACTGTAACTGTTGAAACATCTTTAAACTCTCTCCTTCCATTAACTATGCTTTAACTTTTATTAGAGAAAAAGTTATATTAACAGCCATCATAAAGATGCTAGTCAGACAGACAAGCTCAGGTTCCTTTCTTATTCTACTTGAGTAAGTAATCAACCCTCGGGGTCTGCAGCTCTCCCCTATGGCACCTCAGAGACTGCCACCAAGACGGAGCCCATGGTTCCGGGCTCCATGCAAACCGAGCCCCTGGCTCTCGGCTGCGGGGGCTGCCTGTCACTTTTTCAGGCTCTGGGGCCCAGGAGCATGGCCACCTCCCCTTGTGGGGTCGGCTCCCTACTGCAGTCTCTGGCGTGCCAGCAGGAGGAGCTCCAGGCCACAGTCCAGAGACTGCACACCATCAGGGACTATGAGCAGGAGATAGACTCATACTGCCAGGCCCTTCTCCCCAGGAAGGCAGAGGGTAGACCACGGTCTCCCTCCAGGACAAGGGAGGAACCAGGGACTTCCCCTTCTGTCCAGCCACCGGGTTGGACCAAGGTGGTCAAGGGCCCTAGGGCCTGTCGCACCAAGGCCCCTGCCCCGCTGGAGCTTCGCAACAGAAACAAACCTCTTGCAGCCCCAGCAGAGCCTGCTGAGTTGCTAGCTCCCGCAGGCAACACAGATGACACTGTAGCTACTGCCCCCGCTCCCCCCCAAGACTAAACGCAAAGTGTTTGTTGCGGGAGACTCCATCCTGAGGGGGACTAAGTGGGTTATCTGCCACCCCGACCCCTTAGCCTGCGAAGTTTGCTGCTTCCCAGGAGCCAGGATCCAAGACATTGCGGAGAAGATCCCTAAGCTCCTCCAGCCCACTGATCACTATCCCATGCTCCTCATCCACGTAGGCACCAATGACATGGCTCGGAGTGCTCCTAGCCAGGTCATGAGGCACTACAGGGATTTGGGTGCGGGGCTAAAGGGTCTGGGGCACAGGTAGTGTTTTCTTTGATCCTCTCAGTCTTGGGCTATGGGCTGAGGGAGAGGAGGATCCAGGCAGTCAACCAAAGACTGCGGCACTGGTGTCATCGGGAAGGTTTTGGCTTCCATGACCACAGCCCACTCTTTGGAGAGAGAGGCACCGAGCTGCTTGGAAGGGACGGCCTCCACCTCTCTCTGCTGGGGAGGAGGCTCTTCTCAGCCAGACTGGCTGACCTGCTCCACCGGGCTTTAAATTAAGCCTGCTGGGGTTGGGGGGATTACTGCCGCTGCTGGCCCACTAAGTGGCCCTTGCAAAGCCAGCAGGCCAAGGCACATAAGGGATCCCACCCCAGCCCCAGAACAAAATGTAGGCAGGGCAAGGGCCCCCAACAGGACACTTGTGTGTCTACACACAAATGCCAGGAGCCTGGGGAATAAACAGGAGGAACTTGTTCTGCTAAATGCAAATAACTATGATGTCACGGGATAACGGAGACCTGGTGGGACTCCACCCATGACAGGACCACAGGTATAGACGGCTATCACCTGTACAGGAGGGATTGAGTGGACAAAAGGGGCGGGGGCATAGCTCTCTATGTCAAGGAAAGCTACGCGTCCCTGCAAGCTGACATTGGCACCCATGGTGGACGACTTGAGACCCTCTGGGTTAAAATCCGTGGGGAACACGGCACAGGGGATACTATGGTGGGGGTCTACTACAGGCCCCCTACCCAGAGTCAAGACCTTGATCACAAGTTCACCAGGGAATTGGCTGAGGCCACACGATCCCAGTGTACAGCTGTCATGGGAGACTTAAACTACCCAGACATCTTGTGGGATGACTGCTTGGCCAAATCCGAGTGGTCGCAAAGCTTTCTCTCGTGTTTGGATGACCTCTATCTGACGCAGGAAGCCTATGGGCCAACAAGAGGTAAAGCGCTGCTTGACCTCATACTGGCAACCGGGGATGACCTAATCAGCAACCTGACAATTGAAGGGAAGCTGGGTGACAGTGACCATGAGCTGATCACCCTCACCATCTGCCGTAAAGCTGGCAAGTCAGTCAGTAATACAGAAGTCCTTGACTTCAGGAAAGCTGACTTTGCAAAGCTAAGGAGGCTTGTCAGAGAGGCCCTAAAAAGGCCACAACCCAATGGAGAGGGGAGTTCAGGACGAGTGGTTGCTCCTCAGAGGAGCAATCCTGGATGTGCAAGCAAAGTCCATACAGTCTTGGAGGAAAGACAGCAAAAGGGCACAGCAGCCCCCTTGGCGCTCCAGGGAACTGGCGGACCTCCTGCGTCTTAAAAGGAAGACCTACAAAGGATGGAGGACTGGAACCGCCACCAAGGAGGAATACTCTGCTCTGGACCTGCAAAGAGCAAATCAGGAAAGCCAAGACTGTGAGGGAACTCCAGCTAGCTATAAATATCAAGGAAAATAAAGAGTCCCTTTTTAGATATGTGGGGAGCTGGAGGAAAAGCAAGGGCAACATTGGACCCCTGCTAAACGAGATGGGGCAACTGACGCCCAGGAAAAAGTGAACTTGCTAAATGGGTACTTTGCATCAGTTTTTCACCAGTCCCGTGGGACAGCCCTGCCCACTATGGGTCAAGGAGGCCCAGGTGAGGGAGATTCCTTGCCCTCCATCAAAGCTGACCTTGTGAAAGAATACCTTGACAAGCTGGATACCTTCAAGTCAGCCAAGGGTACTCAGGAAGCTGGCGAGCATCGTAGCTCAGCCCCTGGTATGGATCTCTGAGAGCTCTTGGCGCTTTGGTGAAGTGCCCGATGATTGAAAGAGGACCAATGTCATGCCTGTCTTCAAGAAAGGGAGGAAAGTAGATCTGGCAAACTACAGGCCCATCAGCTTGACCTCTATCCTGGGGAAGGTCTTGGAAAAGATTATCAAGGAGGCCATCCTTAACAGACTAGCTGAAGGCAATATCCTGAGGGATACCCAGCATGGGTTTGTTGCAGGTAGGTCTTGCTTGAACAATCTTGTTTCCTTTTATGACCAGGTGACTTATCACCTGGACAAGGGGGAAGAGATCAACGTTGTATATCTTGACTTTAAAAAAGCCTTCGATTTGGTATCCCACGATCACCTCTTGGCTAAACTGGCTAACTACACCCTCGACCTCACCACAATCCGCTGGTTGGGGAATTGGTTCCACGGTAGGACCCAGAGGGTGGTGGTTGACGGGAGCCAATTGTCTTGGTGCACTGTGACCAGAGGGGTCCCTCAAGGCCTATGCTATTTAACATCTTCATCAATGATGTTGGTGTCAGAAGCAGACTGGCCAAGTTTGCCGACGACACCAAACTCTGGGGTAAAGCATCCACACCTGAGGACAGGGGGGTGATCCAGGCGGATCTTGACAGGCTCATGAAATGGGCAG